CTCCAAAATTTGACTCCAACATTCACGACTTCATTAGGGATAGGAGGGACCAGTCAAGGAACACTTCCTTGACAAAGTGATTTTTTAGCTGAAACTTGAAGGACGAGTGAGCCATATTCAGGCACCGGGAACAGAGTGTGCGAAGCCATATTCAAGGAACTGAAACTGGTCAGGGGCTGGCGGAGCACGGAGTGTTGGGGGGACAGGCTAGAGAAGCAGCCGAAGAAGCGGCTTAAGGAGTTTAGATTTTGGCGCGAGAGCAATGGAACGCATTGAAGGGTTTTAAGCAGGAGAGGTGATAAATTTGTGCTTGTAAAGAGATCACTGTGCTTGCCACTGGAGAACGAAGTACAGGTGTGTGAGATCAGAAGCCGGGAGCCAGAGGGGAGTCTGTGGCGGTGTCAGGGGAGAGAGAATAGTGGTGACTCGGACCAGGCAGGCAGTCCTGGGGTGGAGAAGAGGTGACAGATTTGAAATATTTAGGAAGCAAAATGGACCAGATGTAGTGATGGAGTGGATGTAGGGAATGAGGGAGGGAGCCGCATCAAGAGTGACTCCCAGGTTTCTGTTTTCGTTTTAGCTGACATTTATTGATCACCTACTAAGAGCCAGGCATGGTTCTAGCACTTTCCGTGCATTACTTGCCTATTCCTCACAGTAATGCCATAAGGTAAGCTATCATTATCCCCCTTTACAATCTAATTTCACTCCAACAAGAGTGATGGGGGTGATGGGACACAATGGGACGTGTCCCAAGCTTGCGCCTCTGGGGAACAGCCGTGGCGGATCAAAGGAATAGAGAAGGGCAAGAGGGAGGCAGGTTATAGATATGGAGCTGATCCTGAGTCAGTGACAATAGTGACAGATAGCACTTACAGAGCTTTTACCACGTGCCAGGCACGGTGCCATCCAATTGGCTAATAATAAGAGCTAACACTTCATTCCACATAAGGCCCTTTACGTCAATGATCTGATTGAATTCTCACAACTGCTCTCTTTAAAATTTCTATTACACAAGAAGAGACGGTGGCTCCAAGAGGATGAGGGACTTGCCCAAGGTCACACAGCTAGTTAGTAGAAGATATGACATTCAAACAGGTGTGTCAGGGGGAGGAGGATGAGGCTGGGCAAGGAGGTGGTCAGTGGCTGCCAGGAAGGACGGGCCTGTATTGGGCTCCCTGCACCCCTTGATGTGACTCACCCTAGAGCTGACCACCCACGCAAGCTGGGAACACGCACGTGCACACACACGCACACCTGGGCTGGCACTGCTCACCTGCCCAGAGGCGGCCCACCTGGACCCTCCACCCCGGGTGCCTCTGCCCTGCCCCTCCTCCCCACCCCGCCCCCACCCTGCCAGATGCTGGGTGCTGCAGGCAGAGCCGTGCTGTAAATCACGTTGACAGTATAAATTACATCCCGACCTGGTGTTTTACACCGCGCCCTGTCAGAACTCACCGCAGCCCAGTGATCAGGACAAATTGAATACCATCCTGGCCGTGTCAATATTTATTCCATTTTACAAATGCGGCCGGATGGGGGGCAGGGCCCCGCCGTGATGCCAGCCGAGCAGAGCCCAGGAGGCCCTTCTCCCTCCACCCAGAACCGCTTGCTCCTCTCCCTCCTCCCCGCTCCTCCTCCTCCTCAACTTTTCGTAATTGTTTAAAAGTGTGAAATCCAACATTTATACTGAAAAGTGCACAAATCATGAACGCATAGTATAACAAACAGTTATAAAATGAACAACCATGAACCCACCTTTCGATCAAAATATTGAACACAGCCTCTCCTCAGAAGCCCCCCTGGGTGTCCCTTCTTCACCCACCGCTTCCTTCCATCCTGACTTGTATGAGAACCACTCCCTTGCCTTTCTTTCCAGCTGACCGCCTAACTGTGCATCCCTAAACATCTTAGTTAGTCTTGCTTGCGTTCGAACCTGATACAAATGGAAAAATACTGTACACACTTTTTATTTTTTGCATCTTGCTTCCTTTTCTCAACATTGTGCTTGTGAGATCCATCTGTGTCCTTGTGTGTGTTCATTGTCACTGCTGCATAGTACTCTACTGCATGAACATACCGTTGTTGTTGTGAGGTGCCATTGGGTTGATTTTCGACTTGACAGAGTAGAACTGCACAGTAGGCTTTTCTTGGCTATAATCTGTGGGAGAAGATTGCCAGGTCTTTCTCCCACGGACTGCTGGGTAGGTTTGGACTGCTAACCTTTCAGTTTAGCAGTCGAGTGCTTAACCATTGCACCACCAGGGCTCCCTCGATTTATAAACCCATTCTATCTGTTCTCCTTTTTCCTCCTCTTTCCACTTTTCTCTTGCTCTCCCTGCTAGTCGGTCTCCTCCTCCCCTTCCAACTTCTCCTCCCTTCTTCTCCCCTTGTTCCACCTCCTTGGTTGTCCATCCCCACTTTTCTGCCTGCTCCATTTGGGAAATGGGCACACACTCACAGCATGCATACACACTAGATCCCAGCTCCAATATCCCGCCAGATCCTGGCTCCCCCGCCCCCGCCCTGGGTGTCCCTTCTGGGTCTCCCCCGCCCAGCTCCTGGAAGACCGGATTCTAGCCAGTGGGAAGCTTTCCCTGGGTCCGAGTCTATTAAAGTTTGTCTGTGTCAGAGGATCCCTGGGGCAGGGATTAAGGGTGTGGCACAGCAGGGTCCTTTGTCCCCTGGGCATCCTACCCCAGGTCCAGGAACCTTTGGGGAGAAAGGCTCATCTCTCACTTTCCTCCTCTGGGCTCGGGTGGGAACTGAGGTGGCCCAGAGTGACCTTGTGGCCATCTGTAGGCTGCATATCTGAGTGGGGGGGGGGGTTTGGAACCCAGGCCAGATGAGGGCCAAGCCCCATCCTCAGCTCTGCTCACTGGAGGTTTGCATGGAGCACCCACCATGTGCCTAGTGTATGTTCCACTCAGGCCAAGGCAGAGGAGGCCAGCAGCCTGGTGGGGTCCTAACAGTGAGGGGAACTCTCCAAAGAGCCATTAGAGAGCCCGCTTGGACACCCCATGAGCATGCGTGACACATTTCATTTCAGCCTCCCTTAGTCCTTCTCTGTCTTAGAGCTGCGTTGATAATGCACATATTCAGGGTAGTTAATTTTTATTGCCATTGAGCAGATGACATTAAGGATCTCTCCCTTTGCAGCACAGGAGAAAGCTCTCTAGCCCGGAAGGCAAGCGGACTAGGTGGGAGCTTGGCTTTGATTCCGTTATGCTAGGTTACCTTAGGCAAGTCCCCGTTCCCCTCTGGGCTTCTGTACAATGGAGGGTCAAACTGGAAGAGTGCTTCCCAGGGGCTGGTCAGAGGACCAGGGTCATGCCGGTGGCATAACAAGGGGGATGGGTTCAAAATGCTTGTTCCTAGGTCCCCAGAGCATCTGGTTCAAGACCATGATAGCAATACTAATAGGCAATGTTTCTAGGGTGTTTTCTCTGTGCCAGGATGTGTGCATCCGATCAGCTAAAAATAAGAGGCTACATTTACTGCCCACCGGGCTAAGCCCTGTAGGTATGTTTAACCTGCGCCATGCTCTGTCCTATGATTATCCTTATTTTACAGATGAAGAAACTGGGGCGCAGAGAGGTGAAGTAACTTGTCCAAGGTCATAGCTAGGAAGTGGAGAAGCCAGGACTTGAACCCTGCACTAGGGGCAGCTCCCTAGCATATTCTGATGCCAGCCTGGGAGCCCCTGGACCAGGCGGTCAGGAAGTTGTGGAATGAAGGTTAATCATTTTGCACCTACTGGTACCAGACCCTGCACTAGAGGTGACATGTCTTCACAGTGAGTCACTGAGATGCGTGCCATTCACCAAGATGCACACAAACAGTGCAAGCTATTATTATTATTTCAGGCAATCCTCACACCGGCGCCCTGAGATGAGATTTAATCTCTCCAGTTACTGATGAAAAAATAGAGGCTCAAGACCATGGGGCTGGGGTCCAATTTCAGAGCTGTGAGCTTCCCACCCAAGCGCACTGCCTCCATTGCCCTTCTCTGACTTGCTCCTGGTAATAGATATCAAATTGGATCCCCCAACTTTCTGGGCCTCAGTCTTCCCATCTGTAAAATGGAGGAGTTGAACTAGAGGGCTGGGGTCTGGCATCCCAGCTTTTGCCTCTAACATTAGGTGTGGCATTGGATGAGTTTCTTCCTTCTCGGGGCCTCAGTCTCCCCATCCGTAAAAGGCAAGCTCTGTGATCCTATCCCAACACTATACAACCATGTGGCTTTAAAACAAGCCTTCTGGTGGTAGAAGGCCTTGGGTCTAACTCTCTAAAGACAGACTCTGAGGCAGAGGTTTGCCTTTTGCAGGTTGATTGGGGTGTGCTCTGGGGAACACCATGGGAGGGGAGGGGTAGGGCAGGGCGGTCTAGAGGCGATGCTGTCTCCATAGGAACCTCAGCCAGTCCCAAGGGGACCTCTGGAGGGGCCCAGTCTTTGAATACATGCATCTAGCAGACATGGGGTGTGGGTTGCTCCCCACCCCCCAGGGGGCGTGGCCTTGGCTGCAGGTAATTCCCGGGAAGGGACTCTGACAACTATCAGCAGCCATACAGGCGGCAGCTGACTTGGGTAGGACATTCTGCCACATAGAATCAGCTGAAAAATCGAGGCCGACCTGGGCTCTGGAGACAGCAGCAGATGACAGCTGACCCGAGCCCTGAGCTTAGCCAGCCAGGCCCTGGCCCCACTCGCCCCATGGCCCGGCCTGCCACCCTCTGTGATCACAGCAGGATCAGCGCCCCAGATCTTGCTTAAAGCCTTTCTGCCACCACCTGCCTCGCGGCTCATCTCCCGCGGCTCCCCGAGGTCCCAGTGATTATGCCACCGAAAATTCTGCTTTCGTCTTGTCAACCTCGCAGTAAATTACAGGCCCGGGGGTACATGGGCCTCCTCCTTAAACAAGATTCAATTCCACTTAGCTGCCCCCCTTCCCACCCCACACACAGGTTCGCTCCCTGCCACCACCCAGCTCAGGATTTACCGCCTCTCCTTGCAGGCAGCTGGTAACCATGGCGAGCTCCTTGGGGAGGCTTCGGCCTGGAGCCTCGTCAGCCCCATACTCCAGGGCAGCTGCCTCCTCCTAAGAAGGGAGAGAGGACAGGCCAGAGATGGCAGAATGGACTTCTAGAGGCCAAGACAGAGCGATAATAGTAACCCCAGCAATAATGTGTACTCTGATGCTATCACATCTAACCCTCACAGTCACTCTACGGTGCGGACACTATCATTACTCCCACTTTATAGAAGGGCAAACTGGGACCAAGGAGCTAGTGTGAAGTCAACTGCCAAGGTCACACCCAGGAAACAGCTGACTCTAGGGCTGGGGAGCTTAACCACTAGGGAATACTGCCTCTTCCCCCATGCTGCTTGGAGGATTTTAGAATCTCTTGGTGGATAGGGCTCCCACCCATCTGATGTCTGAATTCTCTCTTAGATTTCATCTCTGCTTGCACTCCTCTGGTGATGGGGAGCTCACTGCCTCTGAGGAGAGCCCATTACGTTTCTAATGATTAGAGACAGTCTCCAAATAACTGATCAACACCCTCTCGCCCCTCAGAAGCATGTGTTTTGGCATCTAAGGTCCTCCATGATCCAGCTACTAATTCCCTTTTGTAAACACATTTAAATTTTTTTTTAATTTATTTTGTTGTTGTTGAGAATATACACAGCAAAAACCAAAACCAAAAAACCAAAAAACCAACCCCATTGCCCTCGAGTCAGTTCTGACTCTTAGCAACCCTAGCAAAACATACACTAATTCAACAGTTTCTACGCATATCGTTGATTACATTCTTCGAGTTGTGCAACCGTTCTCTCTCCTTTTTTGAGATGTTCCTCACCAATTGACATAAATTCACCGTCCCCTAAGGTTCCTATCTAATCTTTCAAGTTGCTGTTGTCATTTTGATCCCATATAGATAGTTCTTAAAAGAGCATAATGCTCAAGGCAGACATTTTTTACTAGTTAAGCTAAACTATTGTTTGGTTTTAAGAAGACTTCAGGGGATAATTTTGGTTTAAGGTTTAAAGATTATCTCAGGGCAATTTTTCAGTGGTTTATCCAACCTTCATGGCTCCAGGAAGTTTGGAGTCCATGAGAATTTGAAATTCTGTTCTGCATTTTCCCCCTTTTTATCAGGATTCTTCTATAGAATCTTTGATCAAAATGGTCAGTAATGGTAGCTGGGCACCATCCAGTTCTTCTGATCTCATGGCATAAGAGGCAGTTGTTCATGGAGGCAATCAGCCATACATTTTATATCCTCTTTCTATTCCTGACTCTCTTTCTTCCTTTGTTGCTCCAGGTGAATAGGGACCAATTGTTGTGCCTTAGATAGCCGCCTGCAAGCTTTTAAGACCCCAGGCACTACTCAATGAATTAGGAGGTAGAATACAAGCGCTAAACATGTTATTAGGCCAGTTAACTGGGATGCCCCATGAAACCACGACTCTAAACCTCCAAATCAAGAAACCAAATCCGATGAGGTTTTTGGTTGTACGTAAGCAGCCTCGGCAGCTATTTTGTGTGTGTGCGTGTGTGTGTGTGAGATTGTTGGAAATATATCTATCACACAACTTTTACCAATTCAACTTTTTGTTATTGTTGTTAGAACTGTCAAGTCAGTTCCTACTCATAGTTGTACTATGTACAACAGAATGAAACACTGCCCAGTCCTGTGTAATCCTCACAATTATTGTTATGTTTGAGCCCATTGTTGCAGCCACTGTGTCAATCCATCTCATTGAGGGTCTTCCTCTTTTTCTCTGACCCACTCACTACTTTACCAAGCATGATGTCTTTCTCCAGGGACTGGTCCCTCCTGATAACAAGTCCAAAGTACGTGAGACAAAGTTTTGCCATCCTCACTTCTGAGGAGCATTCTGGCTGTACTTCATCCAAGACGGATTTGTTCATTTTTCTGGCAGTCCATGGTGTAATCAGTATTCTTTGCCAACACCATAATTCAAAGGTGTCAATTCTTCTTTGGTCTTCCTTATTCATTGTCCAGCTTTCGCATGCATATGAGGTGATTGAAAATACCGTGGCTTGGGTCAGATGCACCTTAGTCCTCAAAATGACGTCTTTGCTTTTGAACACTTTAAAGAGGCCTTTTGCAGCAGATTTGCTCAATGCGATATGTCGGTTGATTTCTTGACTGCTGCTTCCATGGGTATTGATTGTGGATCCAAGTAAAACGAAATCCTTGACAACTTCAATCTTTTCTCCATTTATCAGGATTTTGCTTATTGGTCCAGTTGTGAGGATTTTTGTTATCTTTTTACAGGTGTACAATTATAACAATCGCTGTACAACCCTACCCTTAATGAATGTGATATTTCCATCACCGTTAACCCCCCCTTTCTGCCTCCTTCCAGCCCCTGGTAACCACAAATAAACTTCGTTCTCTATACATTCGCCTTCTCTTGTCTTTTTATATAAGTGAGGTCAAACAATACTTGTCCTTTTGTGATTGACTTATTTCACTCAGCATAATGTCTTCCAGCTCTGTCCAGATTGTCGCATGTATCAAGACTTCGTTTCTCCTACTCACTGAGTAGTGTCCCATTGTATGTATGTATCACGTTTTGTGTAAACACATCTTTTGCGACTCACCAACACTGTAGGCTGCCTGGGGGTCTCATCCCTACGGAGCGCTTAGGTCTGCCCCTGGGTCTTTACTTATACCATCCTGCCCCCTTATGCTTAACTCTCCCCACCCTCCACCCCGTTCATTCCTATCCCAGAATATTCACAACCACACCACAAGCTGCGGTGGAGTCGATTCCAACTCATGATGACCCTATGTGTGTCAGAGTAGAACTGTGCTCTAGGGTTTTCAATGGCTGATTTTTTGGAGGTATATCACTAGGCTTTTCTTCTGAGGCACCTCTGGGTGGACTTGAACCTCGACCTTTTGGTTAGCAGCAGGTTAAACATTTGCACCATCCAGGGACTCCTCCAGAATATCAGAGCTGGAAATCCCACCACTTTACTCACGTTTCTGATGTGGAAAGAGAGGCCCAGAGAAGAGAATGAATTTCCCCCAGGAAACATGGTGCCTTCTTAGTGGGACCCAAATCTTCTGTCAATTAAAATAATAAATAGTAGTAAGAAGAGCTTATAGTCATTGAGTGCTTAATGCTTCCATTCTAAGCATCTCCCGTGTGTCATCTTGTCCTATTCTCACACAGCTCTACTTTTCTATGGTAGAACCTGTTTTTTTGTGGCCATTTTGCAGATGAGATGAGAGGTCAGGTGAGATGCCCAAGGTCACACAGGCAGTCTGATGTCAGAGCCCATGCTCTCAACCAGGCATTCCTCTGCTCCGTGCTGCCTCCCTCCACCCCATGTGGCCTGTTTGTGGATGGACCAGCGGGCAGGAGATGGCAAGAGGGGTGAATGCGCCAGGGAGAGGTAAGGGTGGCTTCTCCGCCCGGAAACTGGCGCTTGAATTCTTGGGTCTGGAGCTTCGTTTCAGCGCTGTCCCCCACCCTGCGCCTGCCACTAGGGATTATCACTTTCCACTTCCTCTGCAGCTTCCTGTCCATGTTTTCAGGCACCTCCAACTTTATCACTTCTTCCTGCTGGACTGTAACCCTGGACCTCTGAAGGTGGGGCTGGAGTCTGAGTCATTGCTGTCCACCGGAGCGCAATACAAGGGTCAGCACACAGTAGGTATTCCATGAAGGCTTGCTTTCTTCTAAGGCAGTCAGGGAAGTCTTCCTGTAGTAGGTGACATTTAGCTGCTCCTTGGAGGATAAGTAAGGGGTCACTATAAACTGCAAAGAGGAAAGGGAATTCCAGGCAGAGGGAACAGCTTGAGCAAAGTCTTTAAGGAAGGAATATTCACCGTGCCTGGGGTAGGGGCCAGGAGTCCCTGGGTGGTGCAAAGGATTAAGTGCTCGGGTGCTAACTGAAAGGTTGGCAGTTCAAATCCACCCAGTGGCTCTGTGGGAGAAAGACCTGGCGATCTGCTCCCATAAAGATTACAGCCTGGAAAACCCTATGAGGCAGTTCTGTTCCGTCACATGGGGTCGCTACGAGTCAAAAATCAACTCCGTGGCGCATAACAACAAATAACTGAAAGGTTGGTGGTTCAAACTTACCCAGAGGCACCTTGGAGGAAAAGGCTGGCCATCTGCTTCCAAAAGCCTTGAAAACCCTATGGCACGCAGTTTTACTTTCTACACATGGGGTTGCCATGAGTTGGAATCGACTCAATGACAACTGGTTTGGTTTTGGTCTGGGGTGGGAGGGTCGCTAGGAAGGTAAGGTGAGGCCAAGCTGAACCCTTTTAGGGAGCGGGTCTTAACTTGGAGGTGGTAACACTCATTGTGGCTGTGCCTGAAACAGACGGGGAAGGGGAAGAGGGAGAGAATGTTTCTCATGTGTCCTATATCCCCAGGTTGGGACTGCTGGGGCTCCAGGTGGCTAACCAGTGTGGCCAGATCCCCCCCTAGGCTGTGAGCAGGACCATGTCTGGGGTGAGAGATAGGCAGCTCCGATGCCAGGCCTGAGGGGCGTTTTACTTTATTCCTTCTCCTGACAAGTGATGGAGCTGGCAGATAAGGCATCTTCTCCCCTAATCTCCCATCTCAGGCTGGAACAAGAAAGCAAGCTGAGTCTGGCTCCTCGTTCAAACCTTAATCCTCTGCTTCCTGAGTTTAAAGTTATGGATTCTAGTCATGGATTCCCCATCGCTGTCTCTAGGAGACATTGTAAGTATTGAAGGAAGTGGAGCTCGAATACAGGGCTGTTCTGTAGCAACTACAGCAGTGTGGTGGGGAGACCCTAAGTCTGCACTCCCCTTTATGGAGAAGGCAGGGGCTGGGGGGTGGGGGGCAGAGTGGGCCTCCAAGTCAGACCTGACTGGAATACCAGCTCTGCTGCCATCAGCTGTGTGACCTCGGGCAAGCCACTTCGCCTCTCTGAGCCTCAGCGCTCTCTGTAAAATGGGGAAAGGAAACCCACCTAGGTTTGTTGTGAAGCTCAAGAAGTTGGTTAATATAAAGGTAATTCTCTGGAAAGAGTCAAGTGCTGTAACAGGTGAAGTGTGATTATTATTATCCACAAGCTAG